GATAGACACGAACGAACAATTTCAATTGAGCAAGAACTAAAGAACAGATACATGTAACAGAAAGAGAAAGGAAAATGAACATGCACATCTATAGTTCATAAGGAAGAATATTTCCTTAACAATTATTATATATTACATATTTATTTTCATTTCGTATTATTTATATCATAACTTTTCCAAAGACAAAACCGATAACAAAGTACATCTATTGTGGATTGAAAAGTACATTCTACAATTGATTTAGAATTTCTATATCTAACAAGCATTTTATTAGTATACCAAGTTAATATAAAACTAGTTGTACTATGAAAATTTCTGTTCATTGATGGATTTTAAAAGAGAAAAAATTTATATAAATAGATAATGAAGAAAAAGCTGTTAGCACAATCCCTATGAGGATTAAAATATTAAACATGATAGAGCTACTTTAAGTATTGTGAAGAATTCAACGAAGAAAAATTGAAAATTCCGTACTTCACCCCATTACAAGGGTATGTCAAAGCTATCCTCTAGAACTTCTTAGCTATTTTAACTCTACTAAAGATCTGTCTATTACAATCATATATTAGTTTGAGTTTGTTTTATGTAAGTCTATCTGACATTAAACATCAAATACTTTATTGTATTTTAAGATTTGAATATCTATGAAATACGATGAAGTATTTGATTTTTTACTAGCAGATAGACTTTAATAAAAATGAATTTAAACTAATATGCTCGCGGCACACAGATTGTTAGTAAAATTGAAATGGCTAAGATATTATAAAAGACAACTTTGGTAAATTCTTGAAGTACGATGAAATACATAATTTTCCTTTGTTTCTCTCTTGAAAAAGCTTCATCATCTATATGAAAATCTATAATAGAACCAAAAATCAGCATGCTGGAAAGTTATCTAAGCCGTTAAAGACGTATTGAAATCTTTGTCATAGTCTGTCAGTAAATTAAAAGATCGTCGCCATGTTTCTTGTGATCTTTGGAACAAGCTTGAGAAAATGAAATCAATTATCTCATCATATAGTTCAATACTCATTGACAATCATGTTTAATGAAAGCACTATGATATTGAAAAATAAGTCATATGTAATTTCTGTAGTAATTTACAGATATTTATGACTAATCAAGGGGTTAATGTCACTCTTACAGAATGAAAAATGTGATAAATGACTCATGTCGATTGACCACCCGATCTCACTGATATCGATAAGGAAAAAAAATCTATCAATTGTAACACTGACTCGAATATCAAGTACTCCAAAAGTTGGGACTGATATGTCTGTTTTCCCATCTTCAAAAATATTTAAGTTCTTTTGTCTTGAAATCATATCTATAGAAAGATGGTAACGTTTTTTTTTGACCCTGTAGGGAATATGAGTGTGACTCGAACATTTGATCGAAAAGCGTTATAAAATAAAGCTCTGCAATGTTATTGGGCGTTGTCAATAGATTGATTTCAACACAGAAAAATTGAACTATTTTGAGAGGTGGAAAACAGTTTTATCTGCTTTCGTCTTTTTAGATAAAATATGTTACATGAAAGTTGTACTACTAGATACCTATTTCTACACTTCGAAGTTGAAGCAGACAGCTTATTTCTTCGGACCTGAATCTTATGTAAAAGCTCATCCATTGATATGTAATAATTAATATTGTCGCAGCGTTGAAAACTTGTTCTCAAGTAATCATATCCAAAATTCTCGTTCTCTAATGCTACTCGTATTCGTCAGAGGAGAACCAATACTCGTACTCGAGGAAGTCCATATTTGTCCAGTGTTCTGCCCTTCTTCATATTATTCAAATATGATATTTTCGAAATTCAGTCTTGCCCGCTGTCCTCGTCACTATTTCGGGGTGTGGGTGTGGGTGCAGGCTGTGGCTGTGCTCCTTTCTTCACATCCACACCCACCCACTAACGCAGAACCACTCACTCAGCCACTATGCTCTCAGATTTCATGCTTCAACGTAACTTGACAAACTAAGCCAACCATCTCACATTCAATTACCATCTTTAGGTATCGAATGAATTTCGAAAGTTTGCATGGCTTATCCGGTGTACAATGAATCCAAGCAGTGAATCAGCATTTCTGAAAGTGAAGAATTCGTCACTGTACTTGGGTGGATATTAGAAACTAAAGGGACAGCGTTGAAGGAAGTTTTAACCATGAAAGATGTTGATGCTCGACGTACCCACACGAATGATATCGTGATAGTCGTCGATGTACTCGGCATAGAAGCTGCACGTAAAGCCATGGAACTTGAAATCTGTCGTGTTATGACTTCCGATGAAACCTACTGCAACTCTCGGCATTTTGCACTACTTTGCGATGTCACGATGACAAAAAGTCATTTAATGACTATTACTCATCATGGGATCAATCGGCAAGATGTTGGACCAATTATGCGATCCACTTTTGAAGAAATGGTTGATACTCTCATGGAAACGGCGGCACATGCAGACTTCGAACCATTGAAAAACGTCTCGAAAATGATTCTTATCGGTCGATTATCTAAGCTTGGCATGGGTTGTTTCGATTTGCTCTTGGACACGAAGAAATACGTCAAAGTTTCGAAATTACCAACGAATACGATGGTTGGATACGACATGATGCCGAATGATCCCGTCAAAGCGTTTAATCAATACACTGCAATATCGTGGATTGAATCAATGACAACAAAATCAAATGAGGAATCTATTTGGTTACAGACGTCTCGTCAAATAACGCCGGTGGAATCTGTCGACTTCTCTTAATGGATACATAAATTAAAGACGAACTTTAAACAAGTTGATATTAATGAAATGAGGGTGTGGGTGTGTGTATGTATGGAAGAGAGTGAGTGTGGAGGAAATTGAAGCACACTCACATCCTACGCATACCCTTACTTGACATGCAACAGCGACTCGTTACACAAAATCATCTTTTTTTGTAGCATAAGCCTTAATTTTGATGTTAATAATGAAAAAAACGATTTAGAATATGCTACATTTGTCTAATCAAGGTGAATTTGGCTGTGGCTGACTAGGAAGCCGACACATCCACATCCTTATTTTTCACAGTCAACAATCACAACCTTAGATATCAGAAGAACTGTTGTTTTTTTATTGAAACGAAAATGCATATGTGAGTCTAGATATGAAACAATCAGAAAGAAAGTTCGTTTTTTTGTTGTAATATTTATTTGCGTCGAAATTGAGTTTGAATCATGTTTCTAATACGAGTAGTTGCTTCGTTGAACTCTTTTCGATAGAATTCAGATGGGAGAACAAAAATTATGAATGTAAGTGATGGTGGAATAAATGAAATAAAATAACCACAGACAAATAGCCAAGAATTGCGAGCAGATTTCAAACAATTGGAAATAAGTGAAATAATTAGACGAGGCAGAGCAATGATGACTAGAATAAATGAGCTCAATAATCGATGCTTGTGTTCATGAAATTGTTCCCATAAATGTTGTTTATAGGGCTGTTGTTTACGAATCTTCGATTTTTGTTGAGCTATCAGGATAATTATGGATACAATTGAAATGACATTGATAGAAAGAGGTACAAGAAAATGAAAAATGTTATTAAATGTGGCAAATATTCGTACAGATGATGGATAACGAACTATACACCATATACGTTGTTCTTCTGTGTCATCAAGTAAACGCCGATAAACCGAATCATAAATAAAACTTGCAAAGACTAACAGATATATTCCAAAGATAACTTTTTTAGCGATTTGTTTACTCTTTAATTTATTGAATTTGATTCCGAGCCGAATGGTTAATACTCGTTCAATACTCACACAAGCATTTAGCCAATCTCCGATGGCCAAAAGTGATTTCAAGAGCATATCTAAACAGATACAACTCGATTTGAGAAAAGAATAATTACTAATTATTGACATATGAGAAAGAAGAAGTACAACAAATTTTGCGGCAAATATTGTCATTGTAACAAAAGAGGTAATTGATGATGCAAGTAGATAAACACCACAACCTCGGTCAAGCGACCGTTTTGTTTGAAAAGTGACTATAGACAATATATCATTGACAATGGCAATTACAAATATCAAGGTTGTTCCAGCTGTAGACAGCTTCACTATGGTCGGTTGTTGCGAGAAAGGAAAATTAGGCCAAATACTATAACCAAGAATAGCATCCAGTGATAGACCGAATCCTTTCGTTGTCAAATGACATCGACTACCAAAATAGCATTCTTTGCAAAAACATGATGATGATGTTGGACAAGTATTATTATCGAGATAGTATTGACCATCATTTTCACAATAATTCCATCCTAAATAATTGTAAACTGGTTTATAGTCAAATTTGAAACAATTTGCATTTCGATCAATATCACATAGACACATGAAATAATCGTTATCATAGAAACAGGCAAGACTTGCATGTTTTTGACATGGAAGATGATAATATTTGGCTCGATGCCACCGTGGCAAGGCTTGAATATGTTCATCAAACAATTCTTTGATTGATAGACAATGATGATCAGGAATAATTGTTATTGAAATATTCATCGTTGGTGTAGAATTTTGTTGAAGGAAAGCTAGATAATAATGTTCATTGAATTCGACAAATATCAGATGAAATATTCCTCCATAATAAATAAAAGCTGAATGTTCATAGGATTTAATTTTTGATATAAGAGTTGTTCGTATTGGATCAGCAAGATGAGACTCTGCAGGTTGACGAGGTCTTGATGACACATAAAAAAAATGAATAAGAATTGATTGTGGAATAGGTATTGTCTTTTCAAAAATAAATTCGATTTTAGTCTGTGTTTCTTCACAAATAACACCCATGAAACCTTCTGGACAAAGACAATAGTATTCAGTTTCAGTAAACTTTTCATCACCAGCAATGCATCGACCATTATTCAAACAAGGATTCGAAATGCACACTGTATTTTTTAAATAACAACGCGGTCCAAATTTACCGTGAGGACAAATACATATCGATCGATTTTGAACAACTCCGATACAAATCGAATCTGATGAACAATCACAAGAATTCTTAATGGTACATAACATTCCAGAATAACCATCAAAACATTGACAAAAATATTTATCCGAATTTAAAAAATATCTACATTGTCCATGCAAACATTTTAATGGACAAGTAGTTGGTATAGGTATAACTTCTCGTATAGGAATATCTACTCGTAGTGCAAGAGAATGTACTGGTAAGAATGAATATTGAATAGGATAGTATATGCTTACATAATATTTCATTTTTAATCGATCATAAACATCGATGCGTACATAATATGTATGATTGAAATTTTTAGGTTGTGTTGAATAGAGAAGATAGAAATTATATTTTTTTCGACAATTACGTATTGAAATGTAGTCAATTTGTTCCGAAGAATGTATATTTGCATTTTCATCAATAAGCATCATAACAAAAGTGAACATTGTTCGCCGTTCACCTGTTAGAAATTGTAATGTAAGACTCACTCGTTGACTTTGGTATTCACATTGATATCCAAAATAGGCTGGTGGACACAGACAATAGTATTCTTTTAAATCATTAATGTAGATTGGAATCCCACTATTACAAAGTGCATCTATATTATAATTGATCGGTTCTTGATCCCAGTCGATATTGAATTCATCAGAAGAAACACTGTCGACAGATGTTGTCACAAGGGAATTATCTTCATTGCTGATAACATCGATACGAGGATAGTTTCGATGATTTTTCAGTGTAAAATAGACTGTATGCTGTTTGATTGGACTTTCTATTAACTGTAATAAATATAAATTAAAATCGAAAGTGTGTGATGGGGTGGAAGGAGAAAAGTTTTTGAACCAATCTGGCCAATTTAAGAGTTGTGCACACCACTGATCTTCGTTGTCACTTGAAATACAGTTTCTTTTTTGTGAATTGCACACATCCATATGACTAATGCATTTAGTTTCATTGGAGCAACGGTATTGTTTAGCAGATGGTAAACTAGGGTTTAGTGAACAAGAATGAAGTTCATCATAGCCACCTAAACAATCAATATGACCATCGTTAATTTGTGATAGAGGTAAACAAGTAAAATTGTGGGTAATCAGTGATATGCAAGGATGACGATCTGGACGGCATGGATTGGAAGGACAGTTAGCTTCATCGGCTGCATTGCGACAATTCCATGTCCCACGGTCATTACACCGTGTATATACATTGCTACAAGACCAGTATTCACAGTCCATTTCATCTGTGTAGTTGAGTCCATCAATCAGGTTATGGTCAACAAAACCATCGCAAAGTATTGAAAAGAACAAATGATTACGTGCTTTTCCTTTAACGTTAATACCTATGGCCAAATCTTCTTTACCGGCACACATTTGTATTCCACTACCAACACTACTCATAGGAACGCACTTCTGTTCGGAAGAGCATCGAAAACGATAGTCGACATCGGGTAATGAACAACTATTTGTGATGGTTTCATCATCTCCTAGGAAACAATCTGGAATACCATCGAGAATTCGGCTTAAGGAGAGACATTTTGACGAATTTGCGCATCGAAATGGTTTCGATTTCGGACACTGAACATATGTATTCGTTGTAGTCGAACATTTGAGGAAAAACTTCAATATAATATTTTCTAAAGATTCTCTTGAGTCCAACGCTTTATCTAAGTTCAATTCAGAAAAAGTTCGACAAGTTGAATTGTTTATCAATACAGTAGCCGGTAGCCATTCACATAATTGTTGACTGTAACATACATAATGAGGTAAAAGAAGATTATGTCGATATTCATTTGAGAAGTTCTTTGCATAGGCAAAACGTACATGACTCAGCACCATCGGTTGAGCAGGAAAGAAGAAAAATGTCGGACAACGTTGTTGAAAAAGACTTTCACTAACATATTTGTCTGCACATTTCATTTTATCAACGAGACCGAAATGATTAACAAAAGAAACGCTCAAACAAATCAAACTTGTCCAACAATCAAAAGATAAATGAGAATTCGCATCCCATGATAATTTTGCTTGTAATAGTAGAAGACTACGGTTATTATGGCATTCTCTCATAGTGCACTCACCATCACCACACGAAAGAAATCGTTCATTTCGACATGTTCTCTCTTCACACCTGAATGATGGAGCTGAGTTGCAATCACGCAGATCATTATCGATGTTGTCAGCACGACTTCGTTCATCTGAACGGTCCATGCAATCCGGATGCCTCACAGCATCGTTAAAAAATTCTTTTGGAATGCAAAACCCATTGTTACAGCGGAATTCATCCTCCTTACATTCACTTGCAATTAATTCTTCACAACCAAATTCATCGTTACCTCCATCCAAACAATCGATCTTTCCATCGCATATTTCTCTCCAGTCGAGGCAAGACGGTTTTGGACCTCGATCACATTGTAAGAATGTATAACATGATCCATTCTGAAATGGGTAGCCGGCTGGATAACGACGGCCAAAAGATGATACAAATTCTTCAAAGTTTGATTTCGGATTAAATGTATATTGACAAAATTCACCAAACCATGGTGCAGAGCAATTATAAAATATTTGTTTCGACAAAGACGAATGTGCATTTTCGAGAAAAGCTTGATATCTTTCAACAACATCTATAGGTGCAAATGATAAATATAACTGTTGACTTGTTATATGTTTTTGTTGCAATGTTTCAAATGTAATTGATGTTCCATGAATAATATGTGTTTCGTTATTGACCAGAGAATTGTATGAAAAACTCAATGAACGTATACAATAAGGAATTATTTGATAAGGAGAATCCATCGCAAGTCCATAAGCGTTGTGTTGCGGTATACTATTACCAACATTATATAAGAAACAGTCATGGTACAAGGAATTGTGACTGAGCCGATCTGTATGATAGAGTCGAAATTGAAGCTCAGTTACTGATACTTGCAAAACGATAAACAGTAGAAATAAAAGCCAATCAAACGTTCCAACTTGCATAATGTTCGATACGTATGGAAAAATCTTGAATCAAGTTTGAATCAATTCTTTTTCTGAGGCTCCTTGAGTAATTGAGTATTGTATATATACATCTAGAAATCTCTATTCTAATATCATATGCAGATGTCTTACATCAATCATCAATCATATGTGCGTGATGTTGGAGTTTTCTTTTCTCAACAGATATTTCTGACTTTTAAAATGAGTAATACTCTCGCAATTTAATATGTCAGGAGTTAAATTCAATACCAGCTTCAAATTAGACGACTTTGACAGATAAAAAATCAAATAAATGAAATTATAATGTCGTTTATGTACAATAGTGATCTATCATAATTTTGGCGATGACGCCCAAATGCATACTCGATGGTTAAGAAAACGACAAGAAGTTTTATTTCTCTTGATCGAGTTCGAGTGCTTCAAACGTAAAGCGAAGAAATTAGGATAAAAAAAAAAGTGCTAAAAGACAAAGAAAAGATCCTCTTCATAACTGTCAATGACATTTTAGTATCGAATATGTTTCAATCAAAAAATTTTGATTTGCTAGTAAGTTACTAACCTTAAATAGAACATTTTCAGTAGAGTGCCTATATGATTAGCATATGGCATTCGATTGAGTTGCTCTACTTGTAACTGAAAATCTGCACCTAATCTGTCACATTTCATGATGGATTCGGCAGTCAGCATATCAAGATATCTTTGATGACCTGGTCTGCATGAAAACCAAAAAATTCTATCGAAAAAAATGAAGGCAGCTTTTTCTTACCTTTCAAGGTTTCAAATGGAAGTTTCACCTTTTCTACTCTATACAACAGCACTCAGCGTCTTGGTATTGATTTTTCTAAGAAAAAAAAAATTAAAAAAAATCTCATCATTATTAGAAACCCAATTAATGCATGAAAATCATGCATGCTCGCGTTATTCTCTAAAGCACGTGCATATAATAGATTGTGAGTGTAGCAAAGATCTATGCATATCAACAGCAAACTTCAATTTTAGACGCTATCAAAGATTTGTTCTTGATGAAATTTTTGAGTATATATCTAGATATACTAATTCTAGCTGATTCCTTTTAATCGTCTTCAGAGACTTCTATAATGAACGAAAATATAATCAAACATGTTTAGCAAAAACATTTGGTTTTCACATACATTAAATTCAATTGATAGAATTTTCTTTGCAACATTTAATATCTTTCTTTATTGAAAGATAAAATGAAAATGTGTTATTGACACACACAATTGCAAAAAAGAAAAAACAAAGATGATAGTTTATTTATTTTCTTCTAATTATAAAAGACATTGTTTCCAAGAATCCTCATATATTCGTTGATTAACAATATCTTCGAATGAATCTTCAAATTTTTTCTGCAAAAACATCTTTTAGTTCAATTCTTGCAGGATTAAAATGTGAAACACGATGTAACTGTTGTTATCAATCACAAGAATATTATTTTATTCGATCTATGTTTTCGATTCAATTTTCCATCGTCTTTTACTTAATCCTTTAGAACTACAATAAGGAGATAGTTTATAGATTATAATGATATGTTAATAATATATAATCGTTAATCTTGTATCGAGCAGATCTGTCACAGTCTGTGAAGAGGTAGGAAAGAAGATGAGTGAGTTCAAATTTCTACCCATATTCACTTCAATACTTCTTTTAGATCACGTTCCACAAAACATGACATAAATATTAAAATTATTGAAATAAATCAACTCATGCATCTTTGTCTAGTTTCCATCATTCTTCATTTGTTGTTATTCTTTAATTTATTTCTTGATGATAAAGCTTCTTCAACTAATATTATATTTGTTGAAAAGTGTCCTGCTATTCCGTGTATTTTCATTTACAAACATAAAAGTGTAAATCACAAACTGTTCAAATTTAATTTCAATGTTTCTTTATTTAGAATTTCTTCAATACAAAGCAATCTCAAGTCTAAAATTTTCATCATTTAAATTTTGAAAAAATTTACTTATAACAATTTTAATTAAACTTATTCTTTCAATTACACTTTTAACTGGTTGTAATGCATAGAGTTCGTTAGGTATAATTATTACTATGAATGTCATGAGTTTTCTTATGTGAACTTGAATATATCATCTAATTATCATTACAACATGGAAGTAGACATCAAATGGATATAAACTAATCAAATTGCAAAAGCATTTATGTGCAAAAATGAAGAATACAAAAAAACAAAGCTTAAAAAATATGACTTTAAAATATAGATGTTGATAAGATGTTTTCTCGTCATATACACTCTCTATCTACGCAACTAACATGGAAAATAAATATTGAATTACAATTGTAAGTTATAATAAAACTTCTTTATAAAGCCTCACATTCACCGTAATTAAAACTCTTCGTAGCTAAAAGCTAATCGATGGACCTTGCTCGTGAGTTTTAAATGTTACTTTATCGATAACAAAAAAATTCAGCAACTTAATATCTATCCAAAATATTTAGTTCTCTCACATATTACTTGATAATTTCTATTTTAAAAAGTCCTTCTTTATATCATATACAACTTTCTATATATGGCTCCAACTCTGCCTAGATCAAAATTATTTTCGGTTAAAAGCCCAAGTTCTCTACATATCGTTAGAAAACCTTTGACTTAAGATAAAATAACTTTTTATTAAAACTCTTTAAAATAATTTATTTTGTATATGGTTTCTCATTAGTAAAACCTTTAAAATTGAATAATCTAATTTAATCTTTTTTTTAGAAAACTAATAAAATTATCAACTTTACAATGAGTCGAAAATTTAAAATAATTTTATTATGCTTAAACTTAATTTTCTTCATGTTCGCAAATGAGAAGCAACTGCTGTAGTCCGAAAATCTAAGTATCGCATTCCATGTGTATGACGCTATTAAGAAACTCATTCAATAATTAAACCATCAAGTAGAAAACAAATACATATGACAAATTACAACAAAAAGATTTTGAACTACTTTAGAATCACAAACTGTATGATTTCCACACTAAGACCATGCAATTTCTGAAGTAAATATGAATTCATTGATACAAAAGAAAATTGAAAATTTTATTGTTTTCTCTAATTAAATTAATTTCAAAACTTCTTTTTCATCCGATGGAAGTGGCATTTTTTTAATTTATAAATAAGAGCATCTTCTTCTGAACCTGAATTACCAACTAATATATCTCTTGTACTCATAGCTTTATCATCTGTACAACTCTGGTTAATTTACAACGAACATTATCTAATGTTGCTGAGCGTTGCTCACTTAATCGATCAACAAGACGATAAATTTGTGCTTTCATTCCAGCTATTTCTTTCTGTTGCATCGTTTCTGTATTAAACACAACAGCATTTTTTTAAATCAACATTTGTGTTTTTTATTAAAGAAATATATGCACTCTCCATGTTTTGTTTTATTAGCATGTTTCATGAAGAGTGCTGGATCAAGATCTTTGCATGATTCATCTTTTCTCGCAAATAAACGTTTAGAAGATTTTTCTAATGTTCTATAAAAATCATATAGATAGATGAAATAAATAACAAAAATATTTACCCAGATCGAGCAATCCCAGACTCGAATCTTATTGGATGCTACAAATAATCCCATAACTTCCGACAGGATCTTCTCGAAAATTGTTGGACCTCTTAGTATTGGATTCCGATAGAAAGTTGTCGGATATATTAGGAATCCTACGGGATCCTGTATATCTTAAATTTGAGCATTAGACCTTGCTTCATCCCCCCCCTCCCACAATACTTTTCTCTAATCGCACAACAAGCCGCAAACTAATATCTGAAATGTAGTTTACTTTTTCTTTTTATTAAATTCACTTGTTCAATAATAAATTTAATATAGCAAAAAACGATTATACACAGTAAAATAAAATACAATAAAAGTTAAAATAAAGCTGAACCACAATAAAATAAATAAATAAAAATAATATTCAATAAGTAATAAATTGAAATAAGATACAATCAAAGTGAAATAAATTGAAAAACAATCAAATAAAATCGAATGAAAATGCATTAAAATAAAATAAGACAGATCTTCGCTTTAATCATACTCTGCACTGATTGGTGTAATTTAAACACACAACATCGCGTGAGGATGAGAGCGCTATGTGATAAGTGTGATTAAAGTAAAAATGAATTATCAAATCCTATTGTCGGAATCCGGTTGGATTCCACTTGTGAGAAATTGTCGGATAGCTTTAGATCCAATAGGATGAAATTGACATGGAAACTTTTATCCTCCACATTTCTTTCAAAGTGCTAATAAAGATGACTTCAATCGATGAAGACCAGCAGATCCTGTTATTATCTGAAATTAATTCATAGAGTATCCTAATTACTAACTCGTTGTGTTCGATCCTAAGATATTAACGAGTTCCGGGAAGTAATTTGAAAGCATTGAGTGAAAAATCAGAATTTAGGTATCGGTGGATGCTGGTGGGGTGCCGGTGTGAGTGTTTGTGTGAGGTTTTTAGTCATACTCGCACTCACACTCACATCCTGCAGATGATGATTAATAAGAAATTATTTTGTTTTACTCTGATGATTTATAACCATTACTAAATATGAATGTTCTCCTCAATATAGAGTTTGGTCGTTGAATGAATAGCGATGTGTTCTATTCTTTAATGAAAATATTCCATTTAAAGAAACTACAGTGTACTTTTTTTATTGTTATAGATGTCTCTTTTATTGAACTATCAGATAAAAACAACTTCACTAAATATACAAGATACTGAAGAATAGAAAAAGATAAAATCTGATTTAAAAGCTTATAAGGTCATCAGCAATCATCTACTGATTGGAGTATTGAGAAACAATCAAAATGAAATCAATGAATAGAACATTTATGATGTTTTTGACGAGAAGATTGATCAATGACCTTGTCTTGATTGATTCATAAAAGTAACACGTTGGCCCCACGGGTCTCACTTGATTCAATCCTGAAAAATCATACCAGAAAGGATCTTGCAAGGCTCATTGAGTTAGATGACAATATTCCTTGGAATCTGACTCACAATTGAATCTCAACATTTACGGTATTATTAATGGCCAAAGATATGCGGAAGACGTATTTAAGCCATATATATTATTGATTATATCTGTCATTTGTATTGGATGATGTACCGAGTAGAGGTGGGACAGTTCAGTTTAGTTCCGATCTAAGGAACTGCGTTGAGAAGTTCTTTTGATGAGAACTAATCTGTCTGTTCGTACAGTTCGTTTAAGAGAACCTCTTCAAAAATGATTTCCCGAAACAATAATATTACTCAGATTTCGGAAGTGTCATTCTCAAAATAGAGCGTGGGTATCGATTTTCAGCTACACCTTACACGCGCACTCACACCCACCCTCTCATTTAGAACACCACTTTTCTAGCATGCAAAAGGAGCATTCTAGTTACAATGTTCACTTTTCATTTATGTTTCACTACCGAATGAGTATAACTACAGACGATCTATTTGTAGCTAAATTGCTCGTAGATCTCTGAAATATGATATCTCTAAACTTTTAGTAGCTCCAATATATGAACCAACGATGAGATTATGAAAACGTCGATTAAGAAATGCTAGCCGATCTATTTTTTTACCAGTTACTATGATGATCGAGATGTTGACAATGATGGAATTGTTATTCATATATTGGCCACTAAACGCTACCTTTCATTGCGGCTAGAGCACTGTGAAACAAGTCAAAAGACTATGAATATGCTAAGTACAACAATAGCAGCTAGCAACAGGATAGGAGACAGCATTAAAAAGAAAGATTTTCGGTCAACATTGTTTGCATGCTTATCACGTATATTATCTTTCCACAACCCACTTCAATTTAATCTCCCCTTCTGTTTTTCTTGCTTAAAGCTATTGAGATTTGCTTTATTTCAATAGCTAGTATACAATGAGAAAGTAAAGACTTTGCTGCATCGTATGACATATTAGTCATAGGTTACAAGTAAGATCCAGAAAACAAATCATACGCTGAAAACAAAGATGGTAAATTTTTTAGTACAATATACATTTCATCTGTATTGTTACAAAGAATATACTTGTTTATATACAAAATTTTCATGATATACATCATTTCTGTATGTAATAGCACGTTTCTGATGTCTTCTTGATAATCCTTGTATTATATTTGCTTTGTCATGAGTTCAACACTTGTCAGATATCACTTGCATGTTATTCATACCCAATCGATTAGTTGCTGGAACTGATGTATTGGCAAACCATTTACTCACCATTTCTTTTCTTTTATCCTTAGTAAATCTAGCTTTTCCAATAGTTGTTCTTAAGTCATACAATGGTTTGTTCTGACCCATAAGTAACACCAATCAAGTCATATACTACTCGGAAGCTGACTTGATTAAGAAATAACTGTTCATTGTAGTAAAAAACTATCCTTTTTTCTGACGTATGTTTTGTTTTTTGAATCTTACTTGTAATTTATGACTAATATGTTTTGCAATGCAGCAAAGTCAGTACTTTCTTGCTACATACTGGCTATTGAAATAAAGGAAATCTCAAGAGTCTTAAGCGAGAAAAATACAGGGAGAAAACTCTATTGACATTCGCTGTAATATTTCTTCGTTTATTACTTGAACATGTTCAAAGAAAGTTAATACATCAATTTATTGAAGCGGTGTGATTCGGTTAGCGGAAATGTAGAGCTTCAGCTTGTATAATAATTTAACGATGCAAGGAACAATGAAGCGAAGACTAATAGTTAAGCCACCATATAGACTTAAGATTAGTGATATAACTAGGGGTGATCCTTTTATCTTAATTTAATATTAAGCGTTAAGTTTTCACTTAACACTTAATATTAAAAAAAAAGTTTTCGTGTCATCACTTAATTACTTAATATTAGGTGTTAAGTAAAAACTTAATTCTTAATATTAAGTGTTAAGTGAGAACTTAATTCTTAATATTAAGTATTAAGTTTTTCTCTTTAACACTTAATTCACTTAAAATTAAGTGATTAAGTATTTGATATGAGGAAGATATTATTTTATTTTAACTTCACTGCCAATAGCTATGTAGCAATACCAATAGAATATTATTAGTATTGGTATTGTTGCATTCATATTCATTAAAAAAACTCTGCTTCTCGAAAATAATCGTTCTCTATAAAGTTTGACCAAATGTTGTCTAGGGTGGTAGGAAAAAAATGTATATGTGTTTGTTGAGATTTTAATGATGTGGATACGCATGAAGCACTATTTTATCGTTATCTGAAGTATTATATGTGCAGGTGAATTCTAGCGTAGTTGTAATATTGGTATGTTTTCTAGAGTTTAAGTAGATGGTAATTGTTTAACTATTTCCTTATATAATGTTTGGTAGAGTCGTTGGTTCATATTTTGTCAAATCGTCACCCTTACATGTATCTTGTAGTAAGTAAACTAATTAAATCCAGCAATATTATTTTAGAGCTAACAATATGCGTTTGCGTTTGAATGATTTGTGTTACACTCATTTCACAATCTACTAGATTCATTGCCGAGTTCAGTGAAGTAATCAAGTTCTGTATTATACATGATTGAGTAAGGTTCTTAAGTTCGATATCACGTACAAACTTTATTGTTCGAATAGCCATATGTATATTATAGTTGCTGTCATAATGACTTAGAGTAAATTTAGCCCCAATCTATTTTATATCTTTACACCAATTCATCGGTAGACAATCGTTAGTTTACATATTATAAAAAATGCCAATGAAGTTATTATTTTAGCTAAAAATTGGATGCATTCTTTGTATCAAAAATAAGTAAATCATATTTTCATATACACGAAATCGTTTGTTAAACTGCTTTTTTCTCAGTTTCACTGTAAGATGTAATTTTTCTTGCTCGTTGTTATTGAATTACAATAGCTCTAAACTAAGCATGTTCATCATTTTTATGCTCCAGATACAATGATTAAAAAGTGTCATGGAAAATAAATCTAATAAACTTGTCTATCCGCTTAAAAATATGTCATTTTATTTTTTTGAGAAAAATTTAATAGATGGTTTTGATCATATGTTATACACTACTTTTCAGACAGGTATCCCACGCTGATGCGCTATGGAATGTTGCAAAGGAGCACAAAACATAAATGCGGATAGAAACTTATGAAACATCGTTCGTAACTAAAAGATAGGCTGTCATCTGAGCTTGCAGTCTGTCTAATGAACAAGGTTTGAAAGTCTAAAGTTAAGAGAAGATTGTCTAGAGTTTCAACTGAGTCGGAGTCGAACTATTTAATCTTATAGATTAGTACATATGTCGTCAGAAAAATAATCCTTCTGTATAATAGTTAACTGTATGTGACTCTCTTTGTTTTTTGAATACGACTTTACAACATATTAAAAGCCATGCTATACAATAGAATTACATCATATAATTTAGAATAGATCTATGTCGATTAGCTTTCTATAGTGTTGCTTGATTTAAGTTAGTTTCATATTTTCCTTGTATTAAGAGATATAGTATCTTCAAAAAAAATAAAGAAACAAGAGTGTATGATACGCCATGAGTAATGATATTAAAAAACCACTATTTCTCGAAATATATTTCGTCAATATGCTGAAGGATAGAAGATAATTTAGTGATGATATTATTAGTATAGCTAGATTCTCATAATGCTTTTGACATTTGTAAGACAGTGATATATTATAAGTCAAATCAAGAATATAGCAGTTTTATAATGAGTCGTGAAATATATTTTTTTTAATATGTCGAGTATGTTTGATTTGATAATAAGAGCATTTTTCTTTGTGTAAGTAAAAAGATCAAATAAATGGTTATGGCTATTTGAAAGCATTTTTAATTTAATTAGNTCGAGACCTATCTACCCTGAAAGTTTCAGGAATTTTCGATCGGCCGTTTCTTAGAAACGCCGGAAAGGGGGGGGGGGGAGCTCCCCTTAAGTATTAAAATTGTTCGACCTTATTCAACTTGTAATCATTATGATAATAGACTTATAACAATGTTTTAATTTATCATTCGATTTCTTTTTCAATGTTGATTCTTATTCGTATTATAATCAAATCAGCCGTTATTTTGTATTGTTATAATTCAACTAAATATTTCATGTTGTTTTTGTTTTATTATTCACATATCAAAAGAAAAAAAGAAAAAAAAAAAAACAACTTGACAGTTGAGAAGAGAAACAACAACAAAACCAAAAAATGTTCAAGGAAAACGACAATGAATAAAAAAAAAAGAAAAACAAACCAAACCGATATACACACGGTTCTTCTTGTTTAGGTTTTGTTTTTGTAAAAAGAAACGTGAAAGAGAAAAAACCGAAGAAAAAAGAAAGAGCAAAGCACGCGACAAACAACACAAAAAAAAAAAGAAATAATAGAAAAGATCGAACCAAGCGCATGCTCTTGAATGAATATCTCAAATCTATATACATACGCACATAAGTTCTTCTTTCTCCCAAGCAGAAAAATAAAATCGTTCCTGTTTCAAAAGTAACTACGTTTATTTTCTTATGTTTGATAATAAAGGAAACGAACGAACGGACATACACACACACGCACACGAGCCAAAAAGAAAACCAACGGAGCAGGTTAATAGTGTGTATCAAAGATATACGTAAAAAAGAAAAAGAAGGATAAACGCAAGAGAAAAGAAAAGAAAAAAAGAAGAAAACAAACATGTACAGACAAAATCAAAATGAAAAAAGAAAAATCAAACACACTAACGTGCAGATGGATCTTGCTGTTGTTGTTGTTGCTGAGTAAGAAATTGAGAAGGTCGTATTAATGGTGGTCGAGTTAAATTTGGTGTTGAACTTGTTCGTGTTATATAATTTGGTGGTGGTGTAGATGAATTCGATCTTAATGGTGCTATTAATGTTTGTGGTGATGGTTGACTTTGAGTTTGTTGTTGCATTATAGGTGTATAACGAGCACGTGTTGCTGTTGTATAATTAGGTGGTGGAGTAAATTGTTGTTGAGGTGTTGTAGTATACCATTGTTGTTGTTGTTGTTGTGGTTGAATAAATGTTGTTGGTAAACGATTAGCTGGAGTTTTATTTAATAATGATGAAAACATAGGTTGTTGTTGTGGTTGTTGTTGTGGATTTTGAACATTCACATCTGATATTTGTTGATCATCCATTGATGTATCTTGTTTAACTCGATTAATTAATAAATTTAATTGATTTGATGATGGTTGTTGTTGAGATAAATTACTAAGTGGTTTACCGTTATTTGGTTTTTGTGGTATGATATACGTTTGTTGTTGAGATTGAGAATGCCAATTTGATTGTTGAGGACGAATAAGTGTTAATGATGGTTTACCTGTTGAATTATTATTTATTGTTGTATTTGTTAATGAGGAATCATAAGAAGATATATGAGGAGAATTTGATATTGGATCCGTGCGAGGTGGAGGAATTGATACTAAAAAGAAAATATTTTTTTTTCCACTACTCTATAACTGTATTCGACGTTAATCTTAAAGGAGAGACTGCGGCATTCATTTAAAGAAAAAAATGAAAAAACCCTAAATTTCCAGTATCTATGTAACAATAAGTTAAGAGTTCGAAGATTCAATCAGATAGGTCATAGTCATAGGTAATTTTGTCATAAGATATTCAGTAAAATATCGTTAATTTCATTTTTCTTAAATCTTGAAAATTTTTAATAATAAATTATTTACCTTGTGGAGGCGGTTGTGGTAATGGCTGTGGTTGTGTTTGCATTGTACTCGGTCTTTGTTGCATCATAGCTTGCATACGACGTCTATCTGTTTGTAAACTAGTTGCTCGTTGTTTTTGTATTTTAGATTTTAAATTAGTACAAAATGGAACTTGACAATTTTGATCCATACAACTTTTAGCATGATACCAACAAAGAAATATAACTTGTTTACATACATTACATTGACTATTTTTTCCTTTACATTCTTTAGTATGTTGTATAACACGTTTATAACGAAAACAACTACGATTAACACAATTAGCATTTCGACAATTAACAGCATGTAATAATGCTTCAATACAACGTTGCATTGATTGTTGACGTTGTAATTGTGAACTAGCTATAGATTTACCATTAGGATTTGAAGAATTTTGATCACAATCTTCAACTATTGATGGAACAGAACGTTCCATTTTATGTTCATGTTTTGGTTCAATATTATAACATTTTTCACATAGATCAAAATCTTCACATACTGTACAATGGTATCGTATATCACATTGTTGTCGACATGTATTACAATTATATATAAATTTATCTGTTGTTGATGTATGTAATTCATATAATAAAGCCATTGTAGAAAATTTTGCACGACGTAAAGATGAAAATTCATAATGTTTATCACGAGCAAAATTTAAAAATGCATCTCGTGTATCCATTAGATCACATTGAATAAGAGCATCGGTATCATTTACAGCTGGACATGATGCTATTGGATTACGAAGACGAATAACAAAGAATGCCTAAAAAAAAAACAATATCAATTGAAATTAGATAAAAAGTTTTATAAGTAAAAGTTATAATATGACTAAGATTTTGGAAAAAGAGAATGATCATCTGTTAGTAATTTCCCTTTAAATTGTCTACGGCATTTTCTTATGCATAAATTTCATGTTTACAAACTTTTGATCATTTAAAAACATTCTTAAAATATCTATGAAATACAATTTAATTTAATTAATTATTTCATAAAGTTTTCTATAGAACAAGTATGTTATTTGCTTTCAAGTATTCATAAATGTCACATTGATTTTTAGTTCCTCAACATTTCAGCTCAAAATTCAGACTTTCAATGATTATATATAGAGTATTTTATAAACCATTATAAATTTCGTAGTAATCTTTGACATTTATATATATATATACAGTAGACGCCACACGCCTCCCCCCCCCCCCCCCCCCCCCCCCCCCCCCCCCCCCACCCAAACCCAACACCCGACACAGATTGCGGGGAG